AAGCACAAGGACCTGAGTTCGATTCCCAGTACAAAAAAAAAAAAAAAAAAAAAAAAAGATTATACACCATAACCAAGGTGGATTCATCCCAGAATACAGGGATTGTTCCGAATATGCAAATCAATAAATGGAATACACTATATTAACAGAGCCAAGGACAAAAACTACACGATCCTCTCAATAGATGCAGAAAAAGCATTTGACAATTCCCAACACCCATTCATGTTAAAAACCCTACAGAAAATTGGTATAGATGATCTTTATCTCAATCTGATAAAAGCTATCTATGAAAAACCGACAGCCAACATCATACTAAACAGAAAGCTTTCACTCTACAATCAGGAATAAGACAAGGGTGTCCACTGTCACCACTCTTATTCAATATTGTTCTGGAAACACTATCCAGAGCAATTAGACAAGAGAAAGAAATGAAAGGAATAAGGACAGGAAAGGAAGACATTAAATTATCATTATTTGCAGATGACATGATACTGTACATAGAAGACCCCAAAAACTGCACCAAAAGACACTTACATTTGATAACTAAATTAAGTGGCATAGCTGGATGCAAAATGAACACTCAAAAATTAGTAGCTTTGCTGTACACGAACAACAGACTCATGGAGAAACAAATTAGAAAAATAATCTTTCACAATAGCATCCCCCAAAAATGAAATACCTAGGAATCAACCTAACAAAGTAAAGACCTCTACAATGAAAACTACAGTACTCTGAAAAAGGAGATTGAACAGGATATCAGAAAATAGAAGGATATCAATTATATTTGGATAAGAACCAATATAGTGAAAATGGCCATACTTCCAAAATTGTTATACAGATTCAATGCAATCCCAATAAAAATCCCAACAGCATATGTCACAGAATTAGAAAAAACAATCCTAAAATTCATTTGGAACCAGAATAGAGCTAGAATAGCAAAGGCAATTCTGGGCACTAAAGGCAAGGCAGAGGGTATCGCAATCCCTGACTTTATACTACGAACGATCCCCAGTACCAAAAAAAACCAAAAAACAAACCCCCCCCCAAAAAAAACAATACTACAAAACTACTGTGATAAAAAACAAAAAACAAAATAAAACAACAACAAAAAAAAAACAGCATGGTACTGGCAAAAGAACGGATCTGAGGATCAGTGGAACAGACTAGAGGATGGAGAAACAACTCCTGACATATTCACTTACCTTATCGTTGACAAAGAAGCCAAACACCCTCACTGGGGGAATGATAGCCTCTTTAATAAATGGTGTTGGGAAAACTGGCTTATACCAAAGATTGAAATTAGATCCCTAACCTAAAATTGAAATGAATCAAAGATCAAAATATTAAAACAGAAACACTAAATCTGTTGAAAGAGAGGATAGGTAGAACTCTTGAGGACATAGGAGTAGGCAAAGACTTCATAAACAAAACCCAGACTGTGGGCCAAGGATTTGGCTTAGTGGTTCTTCCACCTGCCTCGCAAGTGCAAGGGCCTGAGTTCCATCCCTGGTACCAAAAAATAAAACAATACAAAAAAACCCAACCCAAGCCGGGTGTGGTGGAGCATGCCTGTAATCCCAGCACTTGGGAGGCTGAGGCAGGAGGATCACTGTGAGTTCAAGACCAGCCTGGGCTACACAGTGAGTTCCAGAGCAGTCTGAACTACATAGTGAGACCCTGTCTCAAAAACAAAACAAAACAAAACAAAAAACCCAACTCAGACCACAGGGGAAATACTACAAAGAATCAACTGGGACTTCATCTTATTAAAAAGCTTTTGCACAACAAGAGAAACCACCAACAGAGTAAAGAGACAACCCACAGCATGGGAAAATAATTTTACCACCTAATCATCAGTTAAAGGACTATTATCTAGAATAGATAAAGAAGTCGTAAAAATCAGACACCCCCCCCCAAATTTAAAGACCTAATGCAAAAACAAGCATCTGAAATGAAAAGACACTTCTCAGATGAAGAATTAGAAACAAATAAATATATGAAAAACCGTTCAACATCACTGGTCATTTGAGAGATGCAGATGAAAATAATGCTGAGATTCCATCTCCAGGAAGAATGCTGCTATCAATAAATCAATAAAACGCTGGAGGGGCTGTGGGGATAAAAGAACCCTTCTCCACTGTTGGTGGGAGTGTAGACTGGTACAACCACTGTGAAAATCTGTGGAGATTTCTCAAAAAATAAAACTAGAGGTTCCATTTGGCCCTGCTAAAGAATTAAAAGCATCCTACCACAGCAATATACACACACCCATGTTTATAACAGTAGTTTGCAACAGCTAAATCTTGGAAATAACCCAATTGCCCATCAACTGATGAGTGGATAAAGAATATGTGGGTTTTTATGCAACGGAGTACTACTCTGCCATAAAGGATGGGCTTCTGACATTTATAGCTAAATGGAACCATATTTTGAAACCATATTCTTTAAGTGAAATAAATTGGACATATATGTTTAAATACCTCATTGTTTCACTGGTGTGAGAAACCAAAAGTATAAATAAGGACTGAAATGTATAATGGATGTTGGGATATAGGAAGAAAGTGTTCAAATAGGAAGGGGAACAAAGGAGGAGGGAAGATATTTAATGTAAAAGATTCAAAAACAGGGCCTGGGATTTAGCTCAGTGGTTCTGCCACCTGCTTTGCAAGTGCAAGAACCGGAGTTTGATCCCTGGTACCAAAAAGAAAAAAAGATTCAAAAGCAGCCTGGCTGGCCCAGCTTGGCCTATGATGATGTATGTCAATTTATAAGTCCCAGGTTGATTCTGCTTACCCAGTATGGGTGGGAGGTGAAGAAAAAGAAAAAGTGAGTAGAAATTGAATTAAACATTACAGACTATATCCATATATTGGAATATAATGTCATCCCATTAATACACCAATTTTGTTTTTAATTGTTAGTTAAAATTTTTTTAAGTTAGTGACAAGCCTCTTCCATATTTCAGGTAAGAAATTTTCCACAATATTTCTGAAAAAAATCACAGAATACCTGCCTCATTTGTACTTGCAATAAACCTCTAAATGATTTGCAGCTTTTTTTTTTTTTCTAATTACGTATGAAGAAACAGAATTGTACTATGGGTCCATTTCATTAATTCCTCAGCCTTAAAATAGTAAATTACCAATGTTTTTTGTTTGTTTGTTTGTTTTTGTTTTTTTGAGACAGGGTCTCACTGTATAGTTGAGACTGACCTGGAACTCACTATGTAGCCCAGGCTGGTCTCGAACTCACAGCGATCCTCCTGCCTCAGCCTCCTGAGTGCTGGGATTACAGGTGTGCACCACCACGCCTGGCCGGTCCAATGTTTTTTTTATCTAGACCCCATCCATTCTAACTTTCTCCGAGGCAATTTTACCTTTTCATAGAGTGAATTTGATCTTAGGCATTTGTGTGTCTATGTAAAAGATGAAGGATTTTATTGACCACAGTTATGAATGTTTTGATTTAAAAATTCGGAGTGTTCTAATACTCAATCCCAATCCACAGTGAGCTCTAGTGAAACTAGGCACAGACTTCAAATTAAAAAGTAAAAGATCTAAAAGATCAGGGGCTGGGGATTTAGCTCAGTGGTTCCACTGGCTGCCTCACCAGCCCAAGGACCCAAGTTTGATCCCTGGTACCAAAAAAATAAAAGAAAGAAAGAAAAAGTAAAAGATCAGATGTCCAAGATGTATGATTTAGCACTCATTTCCTCTCTGCTTTGTACTAAATTCTGTACAAGTCAGTCATGTACCTACCAGTGATTACAAAGTCTCTTTCACAAGGATAATAAAAAAAAATAAAGCATGTTGGGGAAAAAAGATAAAAGATTAAACTGTATAAAACCCACACATGAGGTCCTAAATTCAATCCCCAGAATCACATAAATGCTCCTCCACAAAACTATGAAACCTCAATATTTATGAAACCAGTCTCCTCAGAAAGAAATACATTGGGTTCCACTGCCTGCCTTGAAAGTACAAGGTCTTGCCAGGGATTTAGTTCAGTGGTTCTGCCACCTGCTTCACAAATGCAAGGTCCCAAGTTCGATCCTCGGTACAAAAAAAAAATAAATATATATATATATATCTGAGTTCTTCAAAGGCACTTAGTGTTGTAGATCTCTAATCCAGCTGTTTTCTAAATGACAACTTTTTGATTGATTGCAGTGCTGGGATGGAACCTAGAGCATCCTCTTGCTAGGCAAGACCTTTACCACTGAGCTGTGCCCAGCCCTAGCTGTCTCCTTGATATTCAATGTGGTAGGCACTTGCCTAGCATACACAAGGTCCTGGGTTGGATTCCCAGCACCAAAACAGCCCCTCCCCCTAAACATTAGCCTGTTTCCATTGCTTATAACTGGGAATGGACTTTGTATTTTTTCTTTTTGGGAATTCGGTATTTGCATATAGATATATGAGAGCTCTTCAGAATGGGACCCACATCTAAATAGAAAGCTCATTTATGTTCCATATACACCTTATACACACACTTGTGGGCAATTTTATACAAAACTTTTAGTGTGGCTCCATTTTGTCTATAACCTGTCACATAAGATCAGGTGTATCATTTTCTACTTGTGGCATCATGTTTGTGCTCAAATGATTTCAGGGGGGATTTTACATTTTTGATTATACTCAACCTAGCTCGTCTTTTTTTTTTGGACCTGGGATAGAACTCAGGAACTTGTGCTTACAAAGTAGGTGGTGGAACCACTGACCTAATTTCCCGACCCCAACCTAGCTCATCTTATCCCCATTTTGTACCTGTGGACCTTAAGGGTGAAACCTGGAGTCAGCTCCCTAAGCCTTTACAGTGACTGCTGATCCCATGCCATCACCATACACGTATTTTATATGTAACCATAATTCTGTACTTTCTTAGGGGATAAGAATTTTCTTTTCTTTTCTTGAGACAGGGTCTTGCTGTGTAGTTTGGGATAGGCCTGAACTCACTAGCCCAGGGTGGCCTCAGACTCACTGCGATCCTCCAGCCTAAGCCTTCAAGTGCTGAGATTACAGGTGTGAGTCACGCATTTCCAGGTGAGAACAAAGCTTTTTCTAATGGTTATAGCTGGCTCATAGCATGTACATATCAGTGACTAAATGTAAACGGTATTGGACAACACACAACTTCATAGATGTCTACATTAAAAAGAAAAAAAAGCGGGGCCAGGGATGTAGCTCAGTCAAAGCACACCTGCCTCACAAGCACAAGGTCAAGTTCAATCCCCAAACCAAAAAAAAAAAAAAAAAAAAAAGCCATTCTCAGAAAGGGAGAAGGAGGACAAAGTCATTCTTCGAAAAGGAAGGTGAGTGGGGATGAGATGACCTGATGACTACCTGTGGGATTAGAACACTTGCTTTTTGTTTGTTTTTTGGTACCAGGGATCGAACTTGGGTCCTTGCACTTGGGAGGCAGGTGCTGGAACCACTGGGCTAAATCCCCAGCCCCAGAACACTTGCTTTATTGAAAATTACAACTCTCATAATGTGAACCACAGGATGGAGCAAGATTTGGCCTGGCGGGGTTTAATCTATGAGAAAAGATATACAACTTGCAAAAGGTCAAAAGTTTATTTGGGGATGTACTCAGTGGCACCATGCCTGCCTGGCAAGTGCAAGGTCAAAGTCTAGGGGTAGACATGCTGAAGTCTGGGTATTCAGGTCCTCTTGGTCTAGTATTTTGGGGGTCCTCAGTCTACCTTTCTGTTTACATTTTTACATTAGATTTTTATTTTAATTTTCTACACACCTTAAAAAGGTCAGATATAGGTATGGTGGCACACGCCTGTAATCCCAGTACTCTAGGGGACCGAGGCAGGAGGTTCACTTATTTTAGCTAGACCTTGTCTCAAAAAAGAAGAAAAAAGTTTTCATAGTTTTAATAAATGTAAAATCTAAAAAGAAGGAAAAAAAAAATGGAGGGAGGGCCCTGGCGACTGGGAAAAATCTCAGTGAGAAGCTCCTAAATTCAATTTTCAGTACTCAAGAAAAAAAAAATCAGAGAAGAAAGCAAAGAAAGTAGAACAGTAAAGGGTTATGGGCATAGCTCAGTGATACAAAGCTTGCCTAGTAGGTCTGAGGCCTTAAGTTTGAACCCCAGCATCTACAAAAGTATCACTGTTACCAACACTTTTTCTTTTGCAGAGCTGGTGATTGAGGGAGTGTATTGCATTCCTAACTATTCTTGTGTGCAGTTTAACCAGGTCAGAACAAAGAAAACAAATCTAAGTCTGGAAAAAGAATTTAACTTGTGCTAGAAAGACTTTTTTTCCAACCCACGAAGGGCTTCAGCACAACAGCATTATTTCCGAGAGGTGTGTAGGGCGACGGATCAGTCGAGAGGCCATCGCTAGAGGTCGCCCATCTCCCAAGGAAGTGCAAGGCAGGTGGGCTAGGCATCCAGATATTCACACGCTTTGGTGTCCAGCTGTCTCAGGGGGCCTCAGCTAGAGCAGTGCAGCAGATGTGGATCCCTGAAGAGATGTCCTTGTTGTGGAGGGAGGGGCTGTGTCTTGACACAGGGCAGGGGAGAAAGTGTATACAAAGATTGTTCTCTTCCTTTTACATTCTAAACACAGGAGGTTCAGACAAGACTAGTCACTTTATCACACAGGCCTTTATTGGGCTTTTCTTCAAGAATTAGGACATATGTAGCCTGGCGTGGTGGCTCACACCTGTAATCCCAGCACTCGGGAGGCTGAGGCAGGAGGATCACTGTGAGTTCAAGACCAGCCTGGGCTATGTAGTGAGTTCCAGGTCAGTCTCAACTACATAGTGAGACCCTGTCTCAAAAACCAAAACCAAAACCAAAACCAAAAAAAGAAAAAAAGAATTAGGACATATGAGGCCAGGGATTTAGCTCAGTGGTTCTGGTGTCTGCCGCACAAGTGCAAGGACCCGAGTTCGATCCCTGGTACAAAAAAGAATTAGGACATATGATTTTTTTTCTGAAACCAATTCATATTTTATCTAAGTACACTTATTTTTTTTCTTTTTTGGTATTGGGGATTGAACTCAAGGCCTTGCACTTACCAAGCAGGCGCTGCACTGCTGAGCTACATCCCTTGCCTAAGTACATTTATTTTTTAAGGAGCTGTAAGGAGGTGGGCATGGTGGTACATGCCTGTAATCCTAGCACTGGGGGAAAGGGCTGAGGCAGGAGGATCATTGTGAGTTTGGGGCCAACCTGGACTACATAGTAAGTTCAAGACTGGCCTTAACTACATAGTGAAACCCTGTCTCCAAAAAATCAACCAACCAACCAACCACACTAAAACACACTTATTCTTTAAAGAAAGCTTTAAAAAATATCATTACCTGTCTTAATTACTTCCCTCATTGCTGAGACAAATACCCGATACCCACAAGTTAAAGGAGGAAAGGTTTATTTTGACTTACAGTTTGTAGTGGTTTCAATTCATGGTCTGAACTGAAAAGGGGCATCTTAGAGGAAAAACAGTCCTTGACACAGCTGGCAGGAGTAAGGAGGCAGCAAACTTCTCTTTCTCTTAACTCATCCAGGCTATAAGCCTTTTGGGAGGTGCCACCCACACCCAGGGTGGAGCCTTTCCATTATCCTCACCAGAACCAAGCTAAACCAGTGGACCAATTTGCTGCCACACATGCTTAATCCGACTGCTACACTCGCTAGATCCAGCCAGTTCTGAAAAGCTCCACCTATGAGCACATGAGCCTTTGGTGAGGGAGCATCTAAATACAAGCCATTGTACTACCCTTAAATGTGTGTCACTTGTGATTTTTTTCATTGAGTTTATTGGTACACTTTAGGTATACAGTACAGTTACATTCATTGTTGGGATCTTGTACCTTTACATGACAGGTCTTGGTTCTCATTTTATCCCCTTGTCCCTGCCCTCCCTTCACCCCCTCCTCCCCTCCCCATTTACAAACACTTTATTTCCATCTTTTCATTTTCTCACATTTTTTTATTTTCCCTTATTACCCTTCCCCTACCCATCCCACCTTCCCTTTAGCCCTTTTCTTCCCATTTCACAGTGTTAGTTATCTCATTAGGATCTTAGGTACTATTATAGTTTATTCACACCAGAGAAGCTATTCGGTATTTATATGTGTTGTCACCTGTGATTTAAAAAATAAAATATAGGGCCGGGGATTTAGCTCAGTGGTTCCACCGCCTGCCTTGTAAGCTGAAGGACCCGAGTTCGATACCTGATAGATACCAAAACAAACAAACAAACAAACAAAAACCAACCAATAAAAAATGAAATATAATGAAAACAATGCTGCTAAATTTTAAAAATGTAAAAGAGACCATAAAATAATAAATTCCTCCTTTAGCAACCTACCCATGTAACAACTGTTTCTACTTATGACTGAGACACACAGTTCAGATTTACAAGCCTTTTTTTTGTACAGTACTGTATATCTTGTTTATACTGCCTCATTGTTGTTTGTTTCTCCCATGTAACAACTGTTTCTACTTATGACTGAGACACACAGTTCAGATTTACAAGCCTTTTTTTGTACAGTACTGTATATCTTGTTTATACTGCCTCATTGTTGTTTGTTTTGTATAGTATACCTTTGTTTATACAGTACTGTAATTTTTGCTGATTGTACTGTATAGTACAGTACTGTAGTAATGTTCTGTTGTACATTACAGTACTGCGTGTAAGAGTTATGCAAATAAAAGCAAAATCATCAAGTTGGAGTTTTCTTTAACTTTCTTCATTCTGAATATTGTAGTGTACAAACTATATACAGTTCCTCATTTAATGACCTAGTCACAGGAAGGGAACTCAATCATTAAACAAGGAATGTCTGTACAAAATAAGCTATGGGTATGATTCAGCAGTAGAACACTTGTCTAGCATGCTGGAGGCCCTGGGTTTGAGCTCCAATACCAGAAAAACAAAACAAACCAGCCACCACCACCACCAATAAAAAACAACAAAGTAAATCTAAGCAGTTTGCAAAAGAAATAATATTGAAAAATAACATTATATAATATATAATTGCACTGCGCCACATTGGTAATTAATTTCCCTCTAAATGTTTAAAAGCAGGAATTTAATCAAATGCATATTGTCTAGAAAAGATTGCTGTTTTAAATAAAAAAAAATTTAAACAATTTCTACTGGTAAATCATAATTTACTTTTGTTAAAATACTTATGCCAAAGAATAGAAATATGATGGGATATGGTGGCACATGCCTGTAATCTCAGCACTCTGAGAGGCTGAGACAGAAAGATTACAAATTTAAGCCCAGCCTGGGCAACTTAGATACTTAATGAGACTCAGTCTAAAAATAAAGCTCTGGACATATAGCCAGTGTAAAGGCCCTGAGTTCACTTCCCAATACTGAAAAGAAAAAAAAATCAACTAAATAAATAAATATAAAAACATGACATTTACTTTAAATTCAGAAACATACAAAGTTAGTTTTTTGTTTGTGATACTGGGGATTGAACCCCTAGGATTGCTCCATCACTGAGCTATATCTCCAGCTCTGTTTTATTTTTTCTAAAGGATTACAACTCTTTAGTTTTCAAATAGGCTGTTTCTTTTCTAAATTATTATATAGTAAGACATTCAGATGTATTTTATTGTTTTGTTTTATTTTTTTCAAATAGGCTGTTTCTTTTCTAAATTATTATATAGTAAAACATTCAGATGTATTTTATTATTTTGTTTTATTTTTTTGGTACCAGGGATTGAACTCGGGTCTTTGTACTTGTGAGACAGGTGGCAGAACCACTGGGCTAAATCCCTGGCCCTCAGATGTATTTTAGAGCTCAGTGTCATTCATCTTGTTTTGTAGGGTAAGTTTGTGGAAAGGTGTGTGAAACAGCACAAATAATAATCTTACTAAACAGCTTCAGGATACTGGACCACTTTTTAAAATACATTTCTGAACTATATCCTTAAAGAATAAGTTGAAAATGTAGAAAACTACGCCAGGCTAAGTCTCCTATTTACCAAAAAAAGAAAAAAGAAAAAGAAAGAAAGAGGGGTAGTAAAGGGGGGTACAAATCCTACATATATTGAAGTCAGATTTCATAGTACAAAGACATCTATTAGCCTAATTAAAAAAAAAAACCCATATGTCCAGTGATGTGAAAACTAACCAAAAACCACATCATTATTCAATGATTAAAATAAAACTTTTTCTTTTTTTGGAGAATGATCTTGCTATGTAGTTCAGGTTGTCCTGAACTCACTAAGTAACCCAGGTTGGCCTCGAACTTGCAGTGATTCTCCTGTCTCAGCCTCCCAAGTGCTGGGATTACAAGTGTGCACCATCACGCCTGGCTGAAATAAAACATTTTTAAAGGGAGAAAGAAAAAGTCTATGCAATAGGAGAAAATATTTGTAAAACAAATATCTGATTAGGGACTTATGTCCAGAGCACAAAACGACAACCTAATTGTAAAATAGGCCCAAAGAATATGAATAGACATTTCTCAACATAAGATATACAAATGACCAATAAACATATGAAAAATGTTCAGTATCATTA